ACTACTAGCACTACTAGCACTACTAGCACTACTACTACTACTACTACTATGATCTGTTTCACCTTAGTGCCACCAGTAGTACCAGTAGTAGTAACAGATGTGATAGACAGAGGAACCTGGATATTGAGATCTAGAAGCAAAAATAATTTAATTAATGCTTAACAGTATGTTATTATTTATTTTGTTTCTTTCTTGTTACTAGTACTACTACGCCACTACTACTAATATGTTAAGTATCTTTTTCCTTTTTCACACCACCGCTCTTCCTGCTGCTACTTTTTCTTGAACCAATGACATCTAATTCTCCACGTAAAACTAGATTGGTTTCCTTATTTTCACTACCTCTGACTGTAAACTTCTCTCTGTATCCTCTGAACTCCTCACTGAATCTAGCATTTACCACCTTCTCCACCAATTCATGAAATATCTTCTTCTTGTTACCTTCCTGGATTGAAGTATTCTGTTCACTACTAGTGAGGAATGATTCTAGTATCTCTGAATCATTTATTATCATACTCTTTGCCTTCTCTGTTGCATTTGGATCATTCTGTAATTTGTCAACAGTCAAAGCAGTTGAAACTTTTCTCATGAGTAGTATTCCAAAATCAAAGTAATCCTCATTCACTAAAGTAAGTCGTCCTCTATTTGCAGACCGAAGGAAAGTGTCATAGCACTTGTCCATATATGTTTTTGATAATACTGCATCCTCAGCATAAAATCTCATGTTTGAGAGGAAATCAATTTCTTCTTGCAACTGAATTGCCTTCTCATTGCCTTCATCCTCATGCCCAGCAGCTGATCTAATCATCAGGATTTTTTTCAATCTTAAACTAAAAATTGCCCAACCAACAATTTTGTTAACATCCCGGGTATGACTTTCCTGTCCTTCTTCTTCTTGACCTTTGTCCTTCTTATCTTCTGCATATTTGATCAGTCCAAGTCTCTGTTTCTTCTCAAGTTCTTCAACAAGAACCAGTATCACTGAAACGATCCCCATTCTTTCTTCGTCAGTTGTGTTTATTGGAACTATCCCATCAATGTCTTTAGTCTGTAACATATTGACAACCTTCATGTGAAATGAAATGCCACTTTCTCTTCGTGATTTTTTCTCTCTTTTCTCTTTCAATTCCTCTGCTGTCTTCATAAGAAAGTTCAGAAGCCTCAAATTCACCTGTTGACACAAATTGTCAAACATACCATCAACTTGACCAAGAATTATATGTTCAAACCACTTTTTGGTTCCTTCTGTAAGCAATGATGCCTCTGCATAATCAAGGAAAGTAGGATTTTTCAATAGCATCTCAGAATAACTTGGACTTCCCTCCCTGTCACCAATAATATTTAACCATGGTATTGTTTTTTCAGTTCTGCTTACTGTGTTAGGTGGAAACATTGAGATACTGGTGTTATTTGCATTAGAGTGATCAGACTGCTCACTCCTTACTTTTACCAAATCTTTCACCCACTTAGCTCTCATCCTTGGACCAGCTGTCAGATCAAACTCAGAGGAATATAAATCTTTGTTTTCCTGTGGTGCACTGAGATCTGCAGAGTATGACTTTGATGTTATTGATTGCCTAACAGCTGCTTTCACATTCATTCCAATAATCCCCTTCTCCAGAAGCAGAGACGTATCCCTACCTGTTGCACGAAAGCAAGAGAATGTTGATTCTAAACTACTTGAATTGTTGTGAAGAAAAGGAACAAATTGTAGTCCTGATTGGTCATCAAGTATCTCCTTTGCATAATATAAGAAGGAGAAGATTGAGATTTTCATATTTCTAAGTGTGATGGGTGAAATACACAGTTGAGACCATCTCTTGACTCCCCATTTGTCTTCAATATTGTCTTTTTGGGTTTTGCTCCAAGCTCTCCACTCATCAAAATATGCTGTAAACTTTTCCATTCTTTGGATTTCCTTACTGATATTAAGTGACAGAATAGTTCTACCACCTAAACTGTCACGTTTTCTTGATTCAGGAGTAGAAACAAGCCTTGCATTTCTGTTCAGAAAACGAACAATGAAGATATTGTGTATGATTACAGACATTTCAATGAAAGCTAGTTCATTCTCAGAACAGCTTTTCATCCTGTGGCCATTGGGTAGAGTAGATATTTTGACTTTCAATAACTCCACTTTTTCTTCCAGAATTTCACCACTGCATCCAACCCTATCTGCATATTTATTCATTATATCCTGAAAGAAATCTGCATCGCAATCAATTTTGTTTGCCAACCATTGACAAAGATAAGCAAGTGTTTCTTCTTCAAAAGCTTTCTTAGCATCATTTACATTCTGCTGTGTGAATTGGTCTGGGTACGCAACACTCCTTCTTATGCCACGAACCTCAATAACATTCATTGAATTTTCATAGTTGTCCTTCAAATGGTGGTACAAGTTTCTCATAACTTGCCAGGATATGTATTTCCCTTTATTTGCCAACACTCTATATGCCAGCATGTTTTTTGCACGCTTCAAACAATGAACAGAACACAATGAAGTCCAGATATATCTTGAAGGAAATATTGGGTTTCTATATCTGACACATTCCATATCTGGTTTTACCACAGTGATATTGTTTGATTTGCCTGAAGTAAGCAGTGCTAGTGCACTTATATTGCCGCCACCTGCATCACACATTTGAAGCTTGACTTTAAAACCAACAAATTCCACAGCAGTAATGACATGCAACAATTGCTTCACAACATCATCACCATCTAGCCCACCACTATTGTAAAAGTATGCAACGGTCCATGTTATGTTCTTACATGTTCTTAGCTTAAAGACATTGGCATATTGGGCTGGTACAAAATACGGATCTACATTGTTCATGGCGTTGTATGTACTTTCTTCTTCTTGTCCATCTGAACTTGCATTTAGGCTATCTTTGGCTAAAGATAGTATCTCCTCTGCAAAACACATGGTTCTTCCGTTTCTACTTGCAGTGAACCCTGCTTCTTTGCCAGTTGAAGGATTATATGCAACTCCACATTTTACCTTGATCTCATCAAAGATAATCTGTACAATAGTTTCTTCAGGAGATATATATTTTTTTCCTGTGTGAATAGCATCATGGAGCTGTGAAGAAAATCTAACAGCATGTGCACCATCACCACCACGCAAATGTTCCATTTCTGTTTCATTTGTCCGCTGACTTGGTAATATTTCCAGTGAGTTTTCCCTCAGTCTTGACCCCTGCCAAATGCATCCGTTGAAGCGTTACAGTACGTACGTACCGATAGTAGAAATACTGTAGTAGAAAACACGGAACTACAGTACTTGTACTTCACAATACGAACGACTGTAATAGACTATCTAGTACTGTAATATGTACTGTAATATCATTATTATTCTCAACCATCGTAAACAGTAGCAGCCATGGAGGAACAAAATGACTCTATCGTTGTTTATCTATGTTCATACTCGGAAGCAAAATCAAAATGAGAAATAACAGTTTCATGTTGGCTYTTGCTATGTGATCTGCTACCGATGGCCTGACTTACTGAACGATTGACCAATCAAGAAAGAAGAATCTGTTTTCGCTGCGATCTCGTACCTACAAMAAGCTAAAGTATGAAACARGGAAAATGCGAAAATGCACCTCTGGCTATAACAGACACAGAGGCAACATGGACCTCGGTATTTGATGCACCCTGCTGGGTGAGTAGTCTGTATTTTTCTGCTCCAATGTCAGGAAAAGGCGATTGGGAGTTTCGCAATGGAACCCATGACGAGGGAAGTAGAAGCGAAGATATCTGTCGTTGCCCGGAAGATACGGCAGAAATTCGGAAGGAAAAGCAAGAAGTTCTTGGGTGGACATTCGATTCCTGCGCTCGGGGAGTGACCGTAATGGGGACTGCGGTTTTTGTCAGCTCTGATCTACTACGATTAGCTAAAGAAGCAGCAGGTTGTATCGATCCGGATGAAGAATGTACAGGAAGAATATATGGGATGCGCCCGTCTTCGATTCTAACAAACATTGTAATGTTAGTAGGGTTGTTGAGTGCCTTTGTGATGCCGTTGATTGGAGCGGTTATTGACCACACAAATTATCGAAGAGCAGTCGGGAGTCTTTCTGCTGGCTTCATGGCTGTTACGATACTTTTACAAATGCTGATAATGGAGGATTATTGGTTTATAGCAGCGATATTGCAGATCGTCGTTGCCTTTTCTTATACTGTACACCTGTGTGCGGTTTATGCTTATCTGCCAGAGCTCACTTCCGATCATGAGAAACTCACGGAATATACAACACGGTTTACGGCCGCTCAATACTTGGGGAGTGTCGCATTTCTCCTTATTATGATAGGAATACTTTCCACGGTGAATCGCGACGATAGATTCAGCGCAACGCTGCTTTCGCAATCTTTAGTTTTCAGTGTGTGCTTTGTATTATTTGGCTACGCATGGACAGTGTTATTTCAACCTCGGCCGGCTTCGCAGCAAGTTCCATCAAATGAATCATTGGTATCTGCGGGCTTTCGGAAGATTTACAAAACAGCGCAAACGATATTGTTACATCACTCCGCCATCAAATGGTTTCTAGTCTCAGTCGCCTTCACAGAAGCTGCAACAACAGCATTTACAACGATAGCAATTACTTATATGACAGAAATGCTCGGATTCAGTGCAAAAGAAAATGGAATCGCGATATTGATCCTTTTGATTTTCGGAGTACCTGGTGCAAGGATTGCAGCATACCTTTCGGCGACTTTCAATCCAATCAGAAGCCTTCAACTGAATCTTRTTTTCTGGATTTGCAGTATTGTCTTTGCTTCCCTGCTGTTATACAAACCGGATCAGCACGCCAGAGCGTACCTGTTTGCTGTGGTATGGGGACTTTCGATAGGCTGGGTATATCCGACCGAAAAGACCCTTTATGTAACCATTATTCCGCGTGGACAGGAAGCAGAGCTCATGGGAACGTATATATGTTGCTGTCAGATCCTATCGTGGTTGCCACCCTTGATCTTCTCTGCGATGAACGAAACAGGATTTTCGCTGCAAATAGGACTTGCGACATTAAGCTTATATTTTTTGACGAGTTTGTGTATATTATTTTTYGTCGGAGACTATGGTGAGGCTGTATTGCATGCAAAGAATAATGACAAAGGGTGCATTCCTTTTACTGTTAATGAAAAGGAAGATATGGGAGCAGCCATYGGAGCATGCTACGAACAGTTTACGGAAGAAACAATRTGCGATCCCGGAGGTTCTACATTGCCAGAGAGCGACCGAGCGCAAAGTGAAATAAGCAGAAACAATTATTCGAGTCACCGAATATAGTAACTGAATTTCATGTATTCATACGAATGGCAAGTTCGCTGTAATATTTATGATTGTCAATAGTAGAAATCTAATTATTCAAATTGGACTATCTGTACGACAGTTTCGCTGATATTACAATACAGTATCATAAGATACGAAATTTCTGTTCATAGTCTATGKCATCTAGGCTACAAGTTGTTACGAAGTACAGTAGTATTTTCTGTTGGTCGTACTGTATGAATTGAATCTATCACTATTCCAGTCATCTCATTCCCTTTCGACTGGTGATCGTTGCTCAATCGTTGCTAAGTACTACCCGTACTTGTAATTTTACTTCCGTATCGGGTGAAAACTAAATTTGTCCTTTCAAGATACCGACCGTATCGACGGCAACAAGATCATACCGTATTTTTATCGGCACAGGTACGTAGGTACGTACCGGTACTAGTACCGGTACGTACCGATAGACCGATAGTCACCCCCTGCCCATTACGRGTAGTACTCGTACAGTGTACTCGGAAGTATATTACGGATTACATAATTCTACTTCGTACCAGGGGCGACATTTTCCAATTTCGGACACACATGGAACACATGGAATAATGAAATTCTGATCCTGCACGAGAAAAAGCGCGCCCCTCTAAATTATGACCCCTGCTTCGTACAGTACTTCGTACCAGAGGTCATAATTTAGACCCCTGCTTCGTACCTCGTACGAGGTACGAAGTGAAGATCTTGCCTACCGTATCATACGTACGTACATTACTGAATGTTTACGAGAAAAGGTAAAGTACAACAAATGCTCTTAGCTATTACTGTATGGTTGTACTAATCGTATCGTAGTACTCGTACCATACCCAGGGTGGGACTCTTAACGAACAAATCTACAAGTCTGCTTGTCGGTTGTTGGTTGTTGGTTGTTGGCACCAGCACCAGCACCAGCTGCAGCATTTCGTGTGTTTGGAATCAGAGTTGATAGTATTTGCTATGTCAAAGATATCTCTTTGAATCACAGCAGATAAGGCCAAGAACACAGCTTTACTGCAAAAGAGGGGAAAAAGATAGCATAGTCGCAAGGATTCCCACTGAGGCATCCACTGGGTTTTGATAGTGAAAAATGAGTACCGGCCTTCACGTTAGAAAGAAACCATCAAATCTCGAAGAGGATGCTGATCCCGAGGTACCAAGCTCTCCTTCGAATGGGGATGGGAACGGTAGCGAGAACAAGATTCACGGACAAACTAGTTTCTTTCGACGCTTTGTTCGAAGTGAAGTTGGCTGTGCGATCGAAGCTATCGCCGGATTCCTCATTTTTGGATTGCTTTTTGGATATTTGATCTTGCATCATCAGCATCGGAAGGTGAGGTCCGAYTTAATCGTATAGGCTAAGTTTCATTCTTAGGTTCCTTCGCATGCCAGATTTTCCTACATTCCCTTATCAAAAATTGCATCCTGGTGGATCTGAACGCTTTCTTTTCAAATACTGGCAGGTCGTTCTTCATATCATGCGCGATCCTCTTGGGCACGGTGCGGCACTCAAGGGGAGGGTTGGATTCCGTCACCACTTTTACACTGGGCACCCCAGGACCGTAACTGTCGTGATGCCTAGTGTTGTGAATCCTAAGGGAAGAACAAAGCGCCTTAAATCCATACAAGAAACTTGGGGGGCTTCAGCTCGTGCTATTTATGTTGTTCACGACATCGAGGAATTTCCCGTTGCATCCCACGCGGTCATATCCGAAAGTCGTACCCCAGAAGATCCTTATTCCTACCCGCAACTCATGCTTGTCCCAGATGGGATCGGAGCCGAAGACGGCGTCCCAAGATTGATCCATACCGTACAAACCGTTTTTGAAAAGGTCAATCCAGATTTTGCCTTTTTTGTAAACGATCACACCTACGTGATCCCAGAACACCTCTGCAACTACCTAGAACATAAAAAGCCTACAGAGGATATGTATCACGGACATGCGCTACACGATGGAAACAACGCATTCAATTCCGGCGCAGCAGGCTACATTCTATCGCGAGAAACTATGAGAAGGCTGGTCGATCAATGGAACCATGGAAAGTGTACGGGAAGGGATGCCAGCAAATGGATACAAGGAAACCCCGGCTTGTTGACAGCGCAATGCCTGAAGGAAGACTTAGGGATAACTGCGTTTGATACACGTCAAGACAAAAAATATCACCGATTTCATGCGTTTCCACTCACCCGGGCGGTGTCTGGGAAAGTGGACGGTTGGTACATAAACAAACACAAGGTGAGTCGGTTTGTTTGATTTGATTTGTCTGTTTGAAATAATGGCTGGTGATGCTCATRCAGTGCATATGCACAACGCTTGACAGGACATGGACAAAAATTTCATGGGTTTTCCAGCATCCTACAATACACTTTTGTCAGGAAAAGATTGCTGTGCGCAGGACACAGTTAGTTTTCACTACGTTGAATTCATGGAATCGACAGCACTCTTTGCTACCCGAGAAGCCCTTTTGGAAAATCCACACATGACCGACCACGAGGTGAAAAGCCTCATGATGGCGGAATGGCCTAGAGGAAAAGAAGTTGGCTTTTATTCTAGAGAATTGCCGAGCGAAAATGACAAAGAGGGATGGGAACCATTGCTCAAGGTAGTAAGGAAGATATCCTCGAGATTAACCCAAAGAGAATGTTGACCTCACTTGTGAGTGCAGTGCTCTTGTTACCTGCTTTGTAGGAACAAATCACCTAGGAAAGATACGCACTGTAGATATTCTTCTGATGATGGTACAGTACTGGAGGAACAATCTTAGTTAGTACATGGATTGAGAAGTTGTACAATATTGCTCAGAGTGGTAGCAGTTTATGAAAGAAACCAGTAACTAATAGAATGACATCACTCATGCTTACAAAAAGAATACATCAAGATAAACTCGAAAAAGATTAAGGATACCTTATAATTTACTAGKAGTAGTAGTTCTGTGAACAATTTGCATTATATGAATATGACACTATCATATGCAGAGTATTGTTATGTGATTGAAGGCAGGAATGTTTGTGTTAAGAATTATGCCACACAGAGTGTGAGATTGATCCTTGACAAGATGAACATTAAACAWTYTACATTTGAGGTCTTGTGCTCCACRAATAGAGGTTGAATCACTCTGATGGGTCCCACTCTAGTACTAGTAGTAGTAAGAAGTACTACTAGTTTGCAGAAGCACATTCCTTCCCAGCAGGTGCTATCAATATGGTGTCAATTACAGCTTCAGCCYGGTTGACCCTCATACCAGTTATTTCAATTGGATTGAAAGAATCCAAATCTTCTGAAACTTAGACCAAGTTGTCTGGACTAGTGTAGGAAATCCAATGTCATCAAAGAGGAGGGCATATGGCTCTTTACTATTMGACTTCTTGAMAATGGCAATCTTTTCTGTCTTGGAGAATACTCTCAAACAGCAGTCAGTGGATCATGACAATGATAGAGATAATTCCTGAAYTGGGATGGGTCCGCCGTACAAACAGATAATTTGTTCAAMAGGGAATTTTTCACTACAATTAAGAATATTAGACCAGTAATAAGTGTTGTTGAGTTATTTTTGCTACAAGACTAAKCTAAGGGATGAAGTGACATCTACCTTTCAGGGCTACATACTGATGTATCACTAGGTAAGAAGTCACACACTAGTTTGATCCTCAATTGTCCTCAATAACTTGTTGTGGATGAAAAAGTAGTTGAAACATGAGGGTCCCCAAAGAACCTCTGGATTTAAACCACCAACTCCTGGGCCTCTAGAAGAGTCCAGAAGAAAGAAGAATACTATCACATACACTAATATTTGCTGTGTTGGTAGGGTTCCAAAGTTTCCAGAAGGAAACTCTCTCCCTGAGTAAAATTGGAGGATCAAGAAGATACAAAAAACAAAGATTAATGGATCCTAGAATAAATCCATTAGGATGGAATGAGAAAGAAATAACCAAATTTAACAGAAGAAGAAACAATGAATTTCTTTTTTGAGATGACTTCATGCACATGTGTGGGGTCATAATTAAGGTGAGTACACACAAAGCAAAACCTATTCTTGTTAAGGCTTGTACACACAGCAAAGCATTTGTTGTTGTTGTTGTTGTTGTTGTTGTTGTTGTTGTTGTTGTTGTTGTTGTTGTTGTTGTTGTTGTTGTTGTTGTTGTTGTTGTTGTTGTGGTATTAGTACTAGTGTAAGTGGGAAAAAGTTTAAGTCTAGATAAACCATCCATTGACTAGTACTACGCTACATGTGGTTCTATCAGAATTACCAGTACAACCAGAATAGTATAACTAGTACATAGTAGAAAATCAACCCTCAAACTAGAGTAGTAGCCCAGCTCTGGCGTTGATAGACCAGACCTCTGCCACTGGAGTTTCCCTGGGGTTCCCAATGGCATTATTGTCAAAGGAACACTACTACTAGTAGTATTAGTGAGGACATTGTACTACAAATAATATTACTGCTTCCTTCTCTTGTTAGGACTCAAGGGGAACCAGAGCTTGAGGTGGTGAGATTATGAGCTTGTACTGTTGCACAAGAAGTAACAAAGGCTATCAMTTTAGAAAAGTTKCAACCCCATCAGAGTGGTATTTCTCTGCTGGTGGGTACTAATAGAARWATGTTCTTGCCTCCTGATAAACAACAAGCTGAAGGAGAAGAAGGCTACTGAAGCCAAGAAGACAAMAGCAGCTGCTGATGAGGCTATCAAACTACTAGTAGTCACCCTTYGCACTCTGTCTGTTTCTTCCAACTGTGTTGCTCCTCAAAGAGTTACACCTGGTGTAACTGTTTTGGAGCCATTAGCTACAACACCAACTAGTAGTGCTGATTCTGGAAAGAAGAAGGAAAAACTCAAGAGTGAGYGTGATGCTACTAGTACATAGATTGCTAAAAACACCCAAGTGTTGAACTATGTGAACAAGAAGATCAAGTTCCAGAATTCTCTGGTGGATGTTCACATCAAAGCCACTAGTAGTAGTAGTACTCTTTCTTACTAGTACAGGGATAGCATAGTGGGAGATGCCAATGGCAATAAGAGCCCTGTTGTGATTGTGAAAGCCACCAATGCAAAKTATGGATCTGAGCTAAATCATGACTCTCTGCTTCAAGAAGTTCAAAAAGGACAGGCTGACATCCCATCCTTAAGGGGGGAGGGGGCACAAGCAGGGGGGGGGGAAATGCTCCTCCTGACGAACTTCTTGGTGTTCTTCTTCTTCAAACCATTGACCTCTTGGTTGATGTGTATCAAATAGTTGTTCAAATCAACCAGGCAAATTGTGATTCTCCTTGGTGTGCTGACTATGTCTCACTCAACAGACAAATGAATGCTAGCATTAGGTTGCATGTTGATTGCTAGAGGAACAAGAAGCTTTTTATGCTGTATTGGGTTCCACTAKTATTCGGGAATTAATTTTTTCTGAAAAAAATTGAAATCGACTTTGTTCCTGACTAACGGGTAAAAATTGCAGACCAACCATTATTTTCTCTTCTGTTTTCATGCCTTTTCGTACAGCGCCATACGTGCCATTACGTCCCGTGAGTACTTTACTCGTACTTGCGAGCACTTCGAAATCCACTCGAGAAATGTGACACTGAAAACTGAAAAATCTGAAACAATTCATCTCGAATTATTRTCTTCATAGTTTAGAAAGGCCGCTACGCTTGAATACAACCCCCTGACTTTATCCCATCACCATGGACTTGTTAGCATCGTTGAACCTGGAAAATCTCCCAGAACARCAAACCAGAATCCAGACGCTCTTTGGAAACGACCCCAATTTCGACTTGAAACTTGGGTTTGATTCTTGCTGTGCTTGCGGAAAAGCATCTCCAAAAATTGACTGCTCGAGCTGCCATCGGGTGAAATACTGTTCGAAAGCTTGCCGCGACAAAGATTCCGCCCCAAGTGGAATATACAGTGACGATAACAGCGAAGGCGGAGAGCGAGCTCTGGGGCACTCATCTATAATCTGCGCTCTTCTTGGTCTCTGCAACGACGACGAAGTGGTTGAAGCTGGCGACAAAAAGGAACTTTCTTCTTTTTCCGATGATAGACGAACTGCTGCTACCGATCGAGTCGCTAGTGAATTTGAATCWTACCCGGCGACCCTGGCTAACGTCCTTATAGAAGGCCCGTGCTACCAGGATGCACTACAGAAATCTGTGGGATCAACCTTGACGATTCATGTAATTGGTGCTTCGACAGATTCTGAGTTATGGGAAGGCCATCCTAGTAAAGAGCAGGAACGCAATGTCTTCAGTTGCTACGCAGATGCATTGGCTGAGGTTGCCGAACAGTACAAAATGAAATCAATTCTTCTGCAATTCTTTGGCCCTCAATGCCCTAAAACAAATATCAACGAAACCCTTGATATACCACCCGTACAAGCAAAACAATCATCGACCAAACTACGAGTCACCACTTCCAATGCCGATTACGATGGAAGGTCTACAAATAAACAACAGAGCTCTCCAGACATCCTTGTATTTTTCAATCCCGGATTTACGTGCCCAGATTATGAATGGGAGAAGACTCTCTTGTCTTGCATGAAGGAAAATCGATTTCCCTTTCTTGTCACTACAAATACCGAAATGGAGGCCGTGGCAGATGTCCAATTCTTATTTGACAAAAAGTTTTTTGAGGACATTCCGCCAACTTTGAAGTTCATTCTCGAAAATACCGAGGACGCTGCAAACGAAATGGAGGGAACAGGCGAAGATGATAGCTTCGATTATGACACCAGCTCGTTTTTCAGCCCTAATCCATATTGTGGTCTAAGAGTAAGACAGAGTGGAACCATGGCAAATGATGTGTATGTCAAGAGTCGTTGGATATACGGCGGTTTCTCTGGTCCCATCAGAGAAACCGCATCAAAAAAGTCGACAACCACATCTTCGAAGGGAAAAAGGAAGCGCGTGGATGCGGCGAACGCAAACAGTAAAAAGACGAATCCAGCTTTAGTGTGATCGCTTCATTGATTTATTTATCTATGTGTTTTGTAATTCCATACAATATTATTTGATAAGTTCTAGTGCAGTATCTATGCAGTTGCAAATTGGATGCGTACCTTGTAGCGTGTGCGAGCTTGAGCTGACAAGATGATATACAGGCATTTGGAGATAGAGGATACGTCCTGTGGTATCAAAGTAGGAGAAGGGCCAAAGTTGTGCTCAATAATRTTGAAATGACAGCGTTTCGGTGGAATGGCRGCACGACAGAAAAAGCTGCCGATGGTTCAGATATTCTCGATTTCATACTGCCGTTCGAAGCCTGTCTAAACCTCTCTAACGTTGGACCTTGGCTGACGGGAGGATTTGTTGTTGTCGGTTGTGCTGTCGGTTGCATGGTTTGTGTTGGCTCAATAGATAATGTCGGGGTCGCAGACGGAGTTGCTGACGGAGTTTCAGTCGGTTCTGCCGAAGGCGTTATTGTAGGGGCCATGGACCATTTGTCTTTACGTACATCATACAGACGAGATCAAAAGTGAGAACGTGAAAAACGTGGCCTGTCGAAATAGGATGATGGGAAAGTACATTTCGTTGCACTTCGTAATTCGATTCAAACATCATTCAATACAAGGCAACGCCATGTATTTTATCCTTACCACAGTGCATGTAACTAGGAGGTTCGACTGAATGCAAGCAAACATGTTCTTCAATAAATTCATAGACACGCCAGTAACTCAATCGACTATAAACGCCTGGCAATGTCCCAGCACATTCRTAGCCCCAGCTTTGTTCCCGTCGAAATCAAAGGAAAACCTCGCATTGGTTAGTAGAGACCTGGGTGGCAAAGGTCTCCAGTTGGGAGTTAAAGGCAGAGACATTGGTACCTTACTGCAAGTCATAAAATACGAGTATGAGTTGATACACTTACCTCACGAGTCCGATCTGTCTATCGTACTCTTCGGTTACTCCTTTGAGAATCAAAGGGGACCCACTGTCCCCGTAACATGAGTCCTTCCCAGSCGAACCAGCACATAACATATCGGGGTAGAGATCTCCGTCCAATGTTATTCCGTGTTCGTCGATAATCTCACTGCATTCGCTATTCACATCGTATTCTACAGTAGTTTCCTGCACTGCTTGGGGAAGTTCCCAGTCACCGTTGTATCCCATACCGACCACCGTGAGTATGGTTCCATCCGATGGTACGTAGTCGTTTCTATTGATTTCAACAGGTTTGCCCATTTTTGATGTTTCGTTCAATTTCAACACCATGACATCAAAACGAGTTGTTTCTTCGTCGTAGTCGGGATGCATTGTTTCTGAAAATGATACAAATGTCTCTGACTCGTCCAAAATGTCATTTTTCATGTACTTCCCAATCTCAATTTTATTAAAGGATCCGATGCAATGCGCCGCAGTCAAAACCATGTCTGGAGCGACCAGGCTACCCCCACATTGGTGTCCCTTTYCCCCCCATTGCAAGCTGACCTGTGCATAYGAATAACGATCTTCAACGGTGTCCCATCCTCCATGAATCCTCGGTCTTTTCACGGGGATACCATTCAATTGACGGTCTACCTCAGGCATAGTCGTACTTGCTGCCGACGTCGACATCACCGAGAAAGTGTAGGTAATCCATGCTAATGCTAATGATCGTKCACACAGACTGGATATCATGGTAGGAAATTTAAGCAAGAGGTCCCGCTGTGTATTTTCAACTGATTGTCCATTAATGTTCCGATGGTGTAGTCGGCGTGTTTAGAATTGCTGAGGCGTTTGACCGGTACAAGATGTGAATGTACGGTATGACGGATTTCTTTTTTTGAAATAATCACATTTTCACTTAGTGCCGTACGCGGGGTACGCACAGAGCTTTTTTTTTCTCTACTAGGCAGGTTCGCCGCCGCATTCAAAACAAGGAACAAAATCAGTATGATGAACTCACATAAACATGGACTGAAAATTCAGCGTGTGGCGTGACTTACTCACTAATTTTACATAAGGTCAGCGACAGCAATTTTGTTAGGTTGCACGACTGCATTTTGCATTTTTGAATGTGCCTCACAAAACCGTGCTAAAGAGATGTAAGTTTCTTTCAACCTGAGAGCGAGCATCGCGGGGAAATACAGTATGCTCGTCTTCAACGATACCAACGCAAAAGCCGGCAGGCACTTTTTATTCCCGCACGGTACTGAAAAGAGTGTACGTACGGTACGTAYCGATACATATCGGAAGTCAGCGGTCATACTACGCGTAAAATAACAATTGAAACTACGTTAATTGAGCATTGGSAATGTTAGYAATTTAACACTMCGAATGTTACCAGCGTAGAAATGAGTACTGTATTTTTTGCTTCAATTTAAAGTCCTCAATGCTTTGCTTAACAGTCTGAACATTAGCAGGGGAGGTGTCCTCTTCTTCCTCTTTTTTAGATCACTGAATCCTTTTTAGGCACCTGCAAGACTGTTTTGCTACCAATTGAAGAATGTGGATAATACTAGGATCTAGTAAGTAGGCCTACAC